ACCCCACGGGCAGCTACCAGCCCACCGTCCCCCACCTCAACAACGAGAACCTGAAGAAGTCGCTGTCCTGTGCCAACCTCTCCACTTTCGCCCAGCCCCCGCCCGCGCCGCCACCCGCCCCCGCCAGCCAGATCTCCTGCTCCAAGAGCGCCCTCTCGTCTGCCAAGAAGGCGCCGCACCCCAGCGCCGCGCCCGCCGGCACCCCCAAGAGGGTCATCGTCCAGGCCTCCACCAGCGAGCTCCTGCGCTGCCTGGGCGAGTTCCTGTGCCGGCGGTGCTACCGCCTCAAGCACCTCTCGCCCACAGACCCTGTGCTGTGGCTGCGCAGCGTGGACAGGTCCCTGCTGCTCCAGGGCTGGCAGGACCAAGGCTTCATCACGCCGGCCAATGTGGTCTTTCTCTACATGCTCTGCCGGGATGTCATCTCCTCAGAAGTGGCCACCGACCACGAACTACAGGCTGTCTTGCTGACCTGCCTGTACCTCTCCTACTCCTACATGGGGAACGAGATCTCCTACCCCCTCAAGCCCTTCCTGGTGGAGAGCTGTAAGGAGGCCTTTTGGGACCGTTGCCTCTCCATCATTAACCTCATGAGCCCCAAGATGCTGCAGATCAATGCGGACCCGCACTACTTCACCCAGGTGTTCGCCGACTTGAAGAATGAGTGCAGCCAGGAGGAGAAGGGCCGGCTGCTCATCGGGCTGGACCGGTGAACACCCGCCGCCCGGGGACTGAGGGAACAATACATTTTTGTTTTTGTTTATGGGACACAAATCAGGGTTGTGCAGACACTGGACGGGTCAGCAGGGCTGCCAGGGACCCCGTGAGCAGCAGCACTGACCCTCAGACACTTAGGCTGGTGGGGCTTTGGTCACCAGGAAGCTCTACAGACCCAGGGGATGTTTTTTTATGATGCTCTAGTGGCCGAGATCCATTTGGTTTCTGCAGCCGCATGGGACATGCCTTGCTACCTCCACTTACCGTATTCGACGTTGGCTAAGCCTGGGGAGGACCTAAGTGGAGCGAGTGCAGAGCAGTGGGAGACCTTGTGGTTGGTGCCGGCTTTGCTGAGACAATACACGTAGGGATTATCCGCACTGTAATTCTATACAGTTGTAAGCCGGAGGCTTGGACCAGTGACTGGCAGGAAATCGTGGCATGTACGTTCCTAATGGGAATGGCAGTGGGTGAACAGGGCAATCCAATGGATTCTTGAACATTTGGTTTTTCCCAGTGGGCTCCAGTATTTCAAAGCTGGCTGGTGTTCAAAGCTGCACGCAGTGGGGAAAAAACTACAGTGACCTTAAAAAAAAAAAAAATCAAAAATCAGCATCAGTCTCCCAAACGGACTTTCTTGCATGTAACATGTAGTTAGTGGCCAGCAGCGGAGCAGGTGACGAGCTGGGATTGTCAGCACCTTTGGCCCCACCCTGGGGTTTTACCCTTTTAATGCTCAAAATTCCCAGATTAGGGAAACGGAACTCCCGATGTTAAGCAGGAAGAAGGGTTTCTCATGCAGGCTTGGAAGTGTCATTCCTCGTCCGCAAGGCAGCTGAACATCCTAGGCGAGTTCGCAGTGCCCTCAAGCTCCTTGCTGAAGTACCCCAGCAGTGAGGTAGCCAAGCTGGGGTTGAAGGGAGACAGCTCCTGGAGATTGTTTTGTTCTGGTGAACCATTTTACACTGATCAGTACAATGACTGTCTGCAGCCTAACCTGGTCCAGTTGAAATATGGTGGGTATTCTTCTGTTCATGTAGAAGTAGGGTCTGTATTGATGTCAGCTTTACTAGAGGTTTAATGGCACTATCAGTTGCTTTCCGTCGTCTGACTGGCCAGCCTTTGTGGAATTTGTCATGTTTAGCATTCTAACCTGGCACCTGCTGTCACAGCCAACCTCTGATGCTCAAGCAAGTTATACATCATGTTTCTTTAAACAAAAAAAGGGAGGTTGTTAACATCCTTCAAAAGGAAAGGCTCACAACCAAATGGCCCATAGGGGACCAGGGCTTGTAGGCTAAACATGAAATATTAATGCACCCTTGATTGGCTTTGAATCTTGGTAATTTCACTTACCCTTAAGTGTCATTTAAGACCAACTTTCCGGGTTCGAGATACAAATGCTCTTCAAGTACTGCTGAAAAGGGAATTCATTTTATGGGCTAAAGATCGTAGGTAAGCTTATCCACTGGCTTTAATAGCTTCTTGAGAAGCCAGAGGTGGAGAAGAACCAAGTCTAGATTTTTGTAGCATTAATATATCTGCACACAAAGACCAGTTCGAAAACCTCTTAAGGCTTCTTCGAATCCAACACTCTAGGCTTAAGGATGCTGGCATTCTGGCAGGGGAGGGGGGTGGGGGGGTTGGGCTTTATATTTAACAGTGTTAGAGTAGATTGCTGCTCATTTGAGCAGTAAGCACTATTTAAAATGTAAAGGAACAGAAAGCTGTGAAATTCAAGGTCTAGGCTTAAGGGGTTTGAAGCAGAAAGGAACCAGTTTTGTAATATCCAAGACTGCTGGATTTACAAGTGTAGGGAGAGCCTGCATTGCCTCTGAGGCTAGGCCCAAATCTGAGCCATTAACACACATTGACCATAAGCTAACCCTTCCTCAGACACAGAGCTGGAAAGGCACTTTGCAGCCAGTTGGCTAGCAAATGTACGAGGGGGAGATCAAGTCTCCTGTGGTCTTTGTAGATGGCCTCCTCAGCTCCCTCCATTGCACATTTGCTGTTCTAAAAGGACAGCATCATCTGGCAACTGGTTGGGAAACTCAACTTCCTGCCAACACAGGCTGAACACATTAGGTCCTACTTGTTTTGAGGACAGACCAGATTCTAGCTGTGTGTCTGGGAGAGCCATTTCTCTCTCTTCTCTATCTCCTTTATTTATTTATTGTTTTTTAAAGACAAGTTTCACGAGAGGTTCGGTTTAAGAGAAATAAGTGCTCCTGTATCATTACATCAACGTGAAATGTATTGTTCCCATTGTGCACTGATCATAAGTATTGTGTAAAGGATTAACTGATATACTTGAGTGTGCAAGCAATGAAAGAAATTTACATGCTGCTATATGAATACTTTTAGAACAAAAATACTAACCTACAAAAAAACCCTTCTTTATTCTTTCATCGTTGCTTTTACAGTGGTATCGTGCATGCAAACAGAAGCATTTTGTGTCTTCAAAAAACAAACAAAAACTTACAACAAATGGCTGTAAAAATTACACCCGTGCAAAACACACACACACGCACACACACACACACACAAATAGTTCAGTCTTTGAGTTGGCATTTTCTTAACAGGCCTGGGGACTGGTAAGTTCTTACTGTGCACAGTTCTTAGTTTAGTTCTGTTCCAGTTGTTAAGATTGCAAATGAAAAAAATAATGTGCCATTTTTTTCACTTGAAATTCTTCATAGCTGTACATTTGAAACTGCTAATTATACATGTATATGTATGTTTTTTTTAGTGCAATCTCTTCTGTAGATCTTTGTTGACCAAACTGGTGGGTATTGTTACTTATTAATTTATATTTGTCTCATTTTGTATGTATGTGTATAGTGTGTTTGTAAGTATGTGTGGTTTATAATCTGACAGACTGTGTCATGGAGCTCAGTGTGCCTGTAATTTAATCCCTTCCCCTTATTTTTATTTATTTTTGTACTGTGTTGATTAAATAAAATGCACTGACCATCCATTACATGGAAGCCTTTTGTAGCCGACTCCTTTATGCAACAGCCCGTGTGTAAGACACCTTTCATGAATGATGCATGGCCTTGGAGAAATAATTGGATTTGCCTAGACGAAAGAGGGCTTAGTACATTAGCTGTGCTAGTGTTTTAATCATGTTAAAGACCCCAAGTTCACCATTTTGCTCTGGACTTTCACACAATGTGCTGTGAAGTCAGCAATCCGGAGAGTTTCCTTCAAAAGAGTGAATTAGCATGACAGGCAGATGAGAGGTGCAGCCTTCCTGACTGGACTGTCAAAAGCCAGGCAAGGACGCCTCTCTCACTGGTGCATGTGCATCTGGGCAGTAAACAAGGGTAAAGAATAGGTTAGTGTCACAAGAGTGGGGAGGAGGAGGCGCTGAATCATAAGGGAAGTGTGTCTTGCTTTGCTGCCTGTCCTCCTGCAGATGTACTTTGGTCTCCAGTCTCCAAGGGCCAGTGTTTCCACAAAACTGTAGGTCAGTCTGTCTTGGAGACTCAGGGATGGGCAACAAAATTCAGACATAAACCTTTACTCTTTATTGAAGTAACTTGAAAGTCCTTGTGGTAAAACCAATGCTCATCTCCAGGGTGACTACTATCATTCCCCATAAAGAAAAAAGGAGACCAACAGTACCAGGGTGCAACTAATAGTCCTTTAATTACAGTGAATTATGTAAACAAAAACCCAATATCATTATAGTAGGGCTTTTCTTTTATACATTACAATATCAACTACTTAAAATGGTTCATTGCATTTTTGCCCCAGGCTCAAAAAAATCAAAATACAATTTAGTAATAGTTAATTTATGGGAGAAATCAGGAATATATATATATATATATATAAACCAGAGTAGAAGCAAATAATGTATTTCATTTAATAAAGACAAATACTTCATCACATACAATATCGCCACCTTGTTGCATTAGACATTCCCTAAACACAAGTTTATTGCTGTCCATGATTCAGTACAACTGTTTCGTTGGAGGGATAGTGTATGAAAGTGCTAATTAAAAACTCAAGCCACTAACTTGGCTACTACATTAGACAGACTGGAGGCACTTGGGCAGTTGCATAAAAATAAAAAGCAAGAAGTGCAAATAGAAAAAGGCACAGCAGTGGGGAGGACACTTTCTACTGCTTCAGAGGGATTATTACAAATAAAACCTTCCCTTCTAGCACAAGTTATAAAAATGCCTTGAGAATCGGCATTTCTTCTCCTACTGAGGAGCAGCAGAAGCTGGGGAGGAAGTGGAACAAGAGGTAAAGGACCCTTTGCTGGTGCCCTATCTGTATGTGTACACTTGGCACGTGCAGGAGCTATTGCTTGGCTGGGTAGTTGCTTCCACTCTCCTTGCTGTTCCAGTGGTGTGTAGTGCTGGTAAAGCAGTCACAGAGGGCTCTCACTGGCATTGGCTGACATCCATTACGACCTGTTCCCCAAGGGCCAGGGAAGACTGGAAAAGGCCACACAGTCCTGGAGGGCAGGATTCCTCTTTGTTGCCAGCATAAACAGGAGAGCGAGCGAGTGGGTGCCATGCTGGGATGTGGGCACTGGGAGCTCCCTCCCTGGCCCCTGCTCCTCATGCACAACAGGCTGCTCTCAAGGCACGTGGTAGGTCCTGGCTAGAAGCCAAGCGCGGAACTTGTGTAATGTGCAGCAGGGGAAAAACAGAGCAGCCCACTGCACAGGAAGGGCTTTGCCACAGGGACTCCCTGGCAAACAAGTCAGGGGAGATTAAGCTTGTCCCAATTAAATGCAGCTCTGTAGCTTCTCTACTCAAGATACTAATTAACTTAAAGAATCTCCCTGGCAGCAACTGGACATGAATACTGTTATGACCACCTCCCCCTCCCTCCCCCTTTGTCTAGGGATTGGTTTTGTGAGGCCCTGTACTCACTGTGGAGCTGGTTTGTCAGGATGCCCTTGAACAGGAGGAGAAATGCCTCTTTAGGGCACTTTTTGGCTGCTAAAACGAACAGATCTAAACTAGAAAATGCATCCTGTTGTAGACCAACACTGAGGCTGGGGACTCAAAGTCCCTGAGACAGGCTCATTGGTACAGGTGAACAGGCAGGGCTTGCGTAGCAAAGGACTGGAAATCCTGACCTGACCAGCAGTGCCAGAATTTAGCATATAAATCTTCATAGCCCCATGACGACATATTGCCTCCCCCATTAAAATACCACAGAAGCAGCCTGATATAAAATCTGCTGACACAACATCAAAAGCTCTTGTTAATAATTCCGGCACAGAGGAAATGGGAGAGGTGGTTTAGAGTGCATCTTATTAAAACCAGCACCCGACAACCCGCACAGAGTACCAATTACAAGGTTACGTGGGCCAGATGGATGCAGACTATGCATTGTCAACTAAACTTGATGCTAACAGAAAGGCCACAGAGATACAGAGTGGCCTCCCAGGTCTTGTGCCAATAACATCCAATATGTGCATGTCAAGGAAGACCCAGAGAAAGGTCTGCAAGCAGAACAGTCTGTGCATTTAAAACAGGCGTGTGCTATCGCCCATTTCCTTCTTTCTATGCTTGGACAGAATTGCCCAGAGTTAGTGACTACATAGTGCAAAGCTGGGGAGCCCAAGGCTGCTGTATCCTCAGACCCAACAGCCCCCCAACTCCCATCTCCAGCTGGATACAGCAGGTGGCCTTTGCACAGGCCTGGGAAGGAACCCCCTCCTTACCCCACCTGTGCAGAGATCCTGGCCAGCATCCTCCTCAAGCCTCATTGAACCATGTTGCTGGGACTATGGTCACCCGCATGGATCAGGTCAGAATTCTGGGGGAGGCACTGGATCAGACTGGGACCCCCTGGGATCCCAGGTCATATCAACTGACCAGGGAAGGCAACAGCTATGCTCTTTATAGCCAATGCTGCTTAAAACTCTCTGCGTCGTGAATTTCACCCCCCACCCCCCCTTACACTGCTGGGGTAATTTTCTCCCACCAAACCCTCTCCTCACAGGCTAATGGACTAGGAAAGCAGCAAATTTATTTTGTTTAGAGATGCATTTACATGTACCCTTGGAATCACATGAGCCTGGGAGGGAGAGGGTGGGAGGAATCAGGGGTCTGTGCCTTCCTTTAGGAAACCCAGCCCTTCTTTCACCAACCATGTCTCCCCTCTTATGACAATTTGGTCTTTCAGATTTAAACTATTACAGCAGGGCTTCCTCCCTGAGCCCCCATCTTTGGTTCCTCCAATGGAGGCTACGTGATATTGCAGAATGGAGATGCAGAGATAGAGAACACAGGAGAGGGTCAGGACAGTGGGATTGGGAGGGGAAGCAAAGGGGAGAAACAACTCCTGATGAATGCTTTCTTCTAACAGCAGCTCAGAAGCAGTTTGCCGGTGTCCAAGTCTATTTTCTAAGCTGGATGCACCTGCATGGCTATTTTCAGCCCTGGTCAGATATGGTAAAGAGAAACCTCTCCTGAATTTGGGCTAGGTATAATACTAGCTTTAGGGATCTGTTCAGGTGCACAGCTGCAAATCACAGCTGAGTATCTCCCAGTTAATTTCCTTGAAAAGTTCAAGTCATACAGAGGGCAATTTAAATCTGGTCTGTCTCCTTTCCTTTCCTCTGCTCTCTCAAACGCTCTCTGCTTTAGTGGAGGGGATGCAAAATCCCTGGCACACAGAGGATGAAACCTGAACGATTCTTGGTGAAGTCTGGCTGTGATTGGTTGATCTTGGTTTCCACGGAGACGGTGCATTTCCTACCGTGCAGGCTACACTGGACCGGGTTGGTAACATTGACTTGCAGACTGCGTTTCTCACTGCAGGGCGAAAGAAAAACAAGAGGGTTAGGAAATGCAGCTAGACTGGCTGGATTACCTGCTGGAGAGCCTTTGCAGGATGGGTTATGTAGTTACATAGTTAGCAGGACATTCTGCTCAACCCTGCTTTATCTCCTCTGTCAGTGTCCAGTCCAGACTCATATAGATCAGCTCACAGCAGCTTTGGAAAATGACAAGCTACAGACACTTCCATTTCATTTGAATTTATCAAGGTAGAGAAAGGCCTAATTTTGCAAACACAGCAGAGATCTGAGAGCCAGGCACTCCGTGGAGCTAATCCCAGATGACATCAGCTCTCTCTGGGATCTCTGCTTCCTTCTGCCTGTTCCATTTTTAAAGAAACCACCCCCTCCAATGACACACTTTTCCCCTGGTCACTTGTCTCCATGAAGAGCACCAGGGTGTCAGCTTTAAAATACACATAGAGAAAAAGGAAGAGATCTTGGAAAACAGCCTGCAAAGAACATCAAAAAGATCATCGAACACATCATGCTTATGCAAGGTCTACAAAAAGAAGAGTTCATCTCAGTCCAGTTCATAGTGGAGAAGATGCCTCATCACCCACTAGCACTATCAGTCTCATTCATCAGATGACTTACAGGCCAAAAATGAGCCACTGACACAGGAATAATATGAGCTGGTGAAGCCAACAGACAGGGACTCAACAGCAGAGGTGTAGCTAGTTATTTCTAGATACAGAGCATGTGGTGGGCAGACCATGTGGTGGGAAGGGGCCTGTGCTGAGCACAGGGGAACAGGAATAAGAAGTGGGCAGGCAGCATCTTACCTGCTAAGGCATGGGTTCACCAAGGGGCTGAAGGCTCAGAAGCGAGGTGATGTCTTCTTCAGGTGAAGTCTCCCCCGTGGGAGATGCTGCTGCTGCAATAGCTATGAGGTTAATCCTCTTGCAGCTGCCACCAAATTGTATATGAAACGACACCATACAAGCCTCTATATGGCAAGCACAACCCCCTGCCACCACTGGGATGCCCCCACTAGTCAGCTCCTGGGGCTCATGCCCAGATCACCCATCTCTACTTACACTACCACTCAAGAGACTGGGTCTGATTCCCAATTCTGCCACCAAGGGGCTTGAGGACCGTGGCAAGTCCCTTTCCCATTTGTAACATGGGGATGATGATGCTGACCTTTTTTGTAAAGTGTTTTGAGATCTTTAGGTAGAAAGTATTATATGAAAGAGGTGGGGATTGTGAATCTTTTCACCCCTCCACAACCCACAATATAAATGAGGGGGTACTGCCTTCTTCCCCAAAGCCTGGAGGCCGGCCAGACCCGCAGACCCTGGTTCTAGACCGGGGCCCAAACTGTTCCCATCTTGGAACTTTCTGACAGGGCTTAACCCAAAAGGTGCGATGCAGCTTCTAACTAGAAGTGCCCATCGTCACAAGACTGAGGAGACGGGCATTAAAAACTCTCAACTCAGCATTGACAATAAAGACCATTCAAGGTAGAAAGCGAAGCTCAATAATAGTCTGAAGCAAACAATCCTCCAACCTGACAAACTGCTGAGCATGGAGAGTAAGAGATGGAAAATTCATAGGTAAAACCTAACTTTTCCCTTTCCTGTCTCCCTCTGGCTGTCTGAACCGTGGGACAGACACAGCAAAATCTATTTCTTGGAAAGCAGGAGAAGGATTCCAACTACATCCCAAAGGGAGAAACTCTGCTGGTTGTTGACCTAGCCTCTGGGAGAAGGATGTTGTAGAGGAGGAAGAGTTATTAATTCTGCAGAGCTTTCTAAAAGCATGAACTGAGACCTACATTGCTGCCTTTTGGATGTCACAGAAGAGTTTGCTTCCTCACTGAACGAATTATGGCATTTAGTGCATCTGCTCTGGAGGCTTCTGTATTCATCAGTGCCTGCATTCATCCATATTGCTGGGCAAGACCTGGGTGAAGCTCTGTTCTTTCACATCAGCACGACGTACAATAAATAGCTGTGGATTGCCTCTAGAGTTTTATCTACTGCGTCTATAATCTACCCCGTGCCATTCCAATCCTCCACAATGCTTCAAATTATGGTTGAAAGAGAGCAAAGATACTTCTGACCCCTGGAATCCCATATTTACATCTGTAAGAAAGGTTTGAGTTGTGGTTTTGGAGAAATCAGAGAGACGTAAGGCTCGAAGGAACCTTCAAAGGTCATTTAGTCCAATCCCCTGCTTGAGGCAGGATCATCCCTAACCAAACCATCCTATAACCTAACGTCTTAGTAAAACTACCATCAACTCTTGACACAACACATGACATAACACCGTAACCTGACACAGGTAACGCTGGGGGACCACAGCAGCGAACTTCCTGTTTCAGTAAAAGCTCAAGAGATCCCTGGTAGAGGGCCATGCCCCGCCACTCCACAGAGGAAGGCAACAAACCATCCATACCACAGTCCATACCAATGGCAAAGAAATGATGCAGAGTTACAGTTCAATGGGCTGTGCTCCCCACTGCGATACCCTCCATGCAACTACAAGGAGACACAATTCAAAAGCAAGTGAGATATGCTAGTGGTTCAAAGACTTAGCCACAGCCTGAGAGGACCACATTTAAACGCCGTTTTAAGAACTTGTAGATTAAACAGCATGTGGGTTTTCAGGGATCATACCTGATGGTACTAAACAGAAGTTTTCTTCGAGTTTACAGACACAGACACTAGTAATGGCTACCTCTCATCTCTTCAGTACTTTGAGCTTGAGGCCCAGAGTCAGAACAACCTGACAGGACTTTAATCCCTTTCTCACTTTGGCTGCCTTGGCCCATTTCACCAAAACCAGAACTTTGTCCTGGTAGCTTTATATTTGCTGCTAATTCTGTGACAAACTGTATCTCCAGGGATATTCCTCCAGGTAGCCCAGGGGCCTCAGTTCCCTCTTTCCCGCTCCTCCCTCCTCCCCACTCTCTCTTTGCATTGTCAGTTCTGGGTCTGATGATGGGATCAGGCCCTGGCTCAGACCCCCGCTTCCAGGCCATTTGTTAGAAGGGCTCCAGCTGCTTTGTAACCAGATCTGAGAATTACGGCCTACGGGGCAATCAGGTTCCCCAGGATCTTCTCCAGTGCAGAACAAAAGGAAGGGTGCACAGAAACCTCAATGGTCACACTTGGGATACAGCGCTGACAGCTTCTGTTCTTAGGACTTTTTCTGAAGAACTGTTCCTCCTAGCTGCTGACGGTGTGGTCAGGCACAGCGTGAGGAAGCTGCTCTGAAGAATCTTGAAGGATCTCCCTTTCTAATCCAGTCTACTGACTGCTTTCCCTTTCCTGTTGTGTCAATGGCTTTGATGGAGCTTAAGATACTGCTCCATCCCCGTCAAAAGAGTCGCTTCTTTGGGAAGCATGGATGGTCTTGACCTCCGTGGTGGCAGGTACATGCCATAACTGCAGTGCTGTCAGTATCGACTCGGATGCTAATGACAGATGGCTTGGTGGAAGCAGAGAAGAGCTGGCTTGGTGGAACACCCTTCCAGCCAATGTATACATTTTCTCCTTCTCTAACCAGTTGTGTGGTCCATTTGGGAGTTTGCTTCCAGCTTTGGAGATCTGTGCCTGCATTGATAGCTAACCTCTCTGGTTCTGGCAAGGGAAAAAAGCCACCAGGGAGCTGCAAACCAGGTTTGTAATACTGATCTGTGTAATCTGGTTGGATGAAATTTCCTCCAGCTGAGAAAGAGGAAACTCTTGAAGGGGCATCATGACAGTGGTCCCATTCCCAGAAGCCCAGTTGAAACTTGAAAGTAGGATTTCTAAAGAATCATCAAAGCTTTTCTGTTACCTGTCCTCTGAAACGAAGGACCGTGTCCTGACTGATGCCTAGGGTCACTAGCAATAGGAAGGCACTGAAATGACAGAGGGTGACTCTTCTAGGGACAGATCCAGAGGGGGGATGGCACAGTTTCACTCCCCTTTTGGATTGGACTGCTCCTTTGGAGCCTCCAGGGACTTCTTAAAGTTCCCAAAGCAGGTGAAAATACTCCTTCCCTTCCCCTTCCTGATTAAAGAAAATGCCCTATGTGGACTTGGCATGAATGTGCAGAAGCTGGAGGGATGTTTGCAATAATTTAGATGTCATCTGAAAGGGGGAAATGGGACCTGGCCCCGAGACATCCATTGAATCAAAAGAATCACAGCTTCTCTAAATCACTCTTCTGGTCCCAAGTTAGGAGAATTTCCCAATTGATTAGCAAGATTTAAAAAGCCTCCTCTGTATACAGAGCTTGAAAACAGTCAGGTCCATCTGTTTGCCTCCTGGCACTAGAGAGAATGGGCTCAGCTGACTGGGAGGGGGTGTGAAAATGAACTGCAGGCAAGCACTGGGTGAGCTGCAGGGCACCTGCCTGGAAGCACTGTGCATCCCTTCTTCTAGTGGGAAAACCAACAAGCACATAAAAAAGGTTAATAGGGACACAAATGTCAAGTGACTCAGCTGACTGGTTGGGAATCCCCCCTTTCACCCATGGACACATGTGCCCAAACCTTGCCAGGCATGGTCAATAAAGAATTTACAATCCAACGATCCCTTCTGTGACAGGTCACTGCAAATGTATTCTTTCAGGCTGAGATCTGTAAGGCCAGAAGGGATCATTGCGGTCATCAGGTCTGACCTCCTGCACATCATAGGCAAGACAGCTCTTCATTCAGGGGGTCCCACTTGACTCCTGGCACCTTTCACAATTGCATGAACTCCTTACATAAAGACTTCTTGGGCACAGAACTCAGGCTACTTCTTGCTCAAGTTGTCCCAATGGTTACTAACCCTCCTTTAACACACACGCATGTGTGCACCACCCCCTTCTCACATGTCTGCATCAAGTGTGCCTGGGTTCAGCTTCCAGCCATTAGATCTTGCTATAACATTTATAGAATCATAGAAAATGAAAGTTGGAAAGGACCTCAGGCAGTCAGCTAGTTCAACCCCCTGCCCAGAGCAGGACTATCCCCAACTACATTATTCCAGTCAGGG